ATTTGAAATCAGCGTTTCAAGCTCTTTCTAATGGTATGCACCTTGTAGTGATTGACCACTTTAATTACGCGACCCTCCCTTGTAAGTCATGTGAATTTGACTCAAAATCGAGTCCCATTGTAATCAATAGACATTTAAGCTATAATCTCAACCTCCGTTCAATTGAAGACATATACAATATGATACAAGGTTCACCTGGTCAAAACCAAATGCTTTGTTAAGCTCAAAGTCGATGGTGTGGAAAGGTTTCGACCATCTAACAAACCATCGACTTTCTCTGTAGACATCGTCATCGCACAACATCATTTTCGGTCTGATCATTAGGATTTTCCTGAACACACGTTTCTTTGAAAAGGAGGACAACGGGAAGACTATTTTCTCACATCCTCTTCTTTCTTAGCCCATTCAACAGAACGCGCATAACACCACGAATGAACTTCTGAATAACATTCAATGCACACCTCTTCCTTTGGGCTACTTTGGGTATACTTTGAGTACCCTTTTTGCAAGCAAAATAACTCAAATCTTCCGAAGTTCCATGCCGTCACTTTGATAGTTTCTACATTCATTCAACATCAAAACCAAAAGTGTTGAGCTTTTAGTAACTTAGCTCAAATTATCTGTGCTGCTGATGCAGTAGTCAGGCTCTGTACCAGATTATGGAATCTTTCACTTTATGCTTCAAACAGTTGGATGTTCCATGCAAAAAGTCTTTTCCGCTCTGACACTTACAGAAAAAAAGGAGCTTCGGTGACAACGGTTTTCAGAAAAATTTTTAGGCCACATAATGCTATCAACGATTATCCATCTTGACTTCGGGTCGACCTAATTATGATTAAATGGTTATGAGATACGACTTTTCGCATGTAATACAGTAATGCTGTATTCAGTAAATGTTTTTTGGGGATCATAAGTCACTTGCCATAAAATAAGATAAAGCCAAAGATTTGCCTAGGGATACGAACCTTACATACCACTCTACAAAATATCCCACTGACCATAAAGTAATACAAAATGAAAACGTGCAATGAATTAGCAAGTTTATCTACCCGTTCAGAGTTGCCACTAAGCAGTTGTAGAGGAGCATGCGGTATCGGACAGGCATCCCAGTGACAATCAAGAGATCTGGCCACTGTAAAAAGACAGTCGACATGCCATGAACGCATAAATAGCATACTTCTTTGGATTTTTCCACTATCTCTTTGAGAATTTCCCACGAGTGTATTTCCGTATCAATTTCGTAAAAGTGGTCTGAACAACCATATCCTGGGATCTCAAGCTCTGGTCCAAGCCTCAGTCGAGCTCCTCGGCGATTTGCTTCCTCACAAGCTCAAAGTATTGTCATAAATGAGTGAAATAGCAAACTTTCCATTTCAACATGCCCAACTGCTAATTGTCACAATTTGT